TGTATTTAAATTAGACTTTTTTTAAGTTCTTTTTTTTTAGTATTCATACGTAAATTTAAATGTGATGATTGACTTCATTATATTATTTTAAGGAACTTTACATCAAAACCATATTATACATTTTTTAATTTTAAATATAACGATAGTATCTTATTTAGTTAGCTCTCAGTTCTCTTTATATTAATAATAAATGATATTTATGTGTATTAGTCGTTGTCTAATGTGTATTGTCTAATAATGCTGGGACCCATCTTTAATGAATGGAAATTCTATAAGGGTTTTGATGGTAATAGGATAATAATAGCATACAATAATAATAATTATTGATATAATAATTATTATTATTTCAATTGGGGCCAGTGATAGAAGAGCCAATTATGCCATAGATTGGTGGGAAGAACAGTGAAGAGAGAATGAGAAAAGAAAGAAATCTGAAGCAGAGGAGATTGGTTTGGGCAAAGTTTGTAGGGTCAATCTTGAAGTGGGAGCTGCAAAAGTAACACACCATGTGATACAAAATAGCACATAATGGCTTGTACTTAAAGTTTCATGCCCAACAAGTGTATGCACAAATGCAACAACTGTGGTAAATGTCTATTTTAACATGGTATGTATCACTTCTTCATATATATAACATCTCCATTATCCTTCAACCTTAGCTTAATTAAGACTCATCTCAAACACTTCTTTTATATACATTTTCAAGATTAACCACAATAATATCGTTTTAAAATTTAAAATTTCGTCACAATTTTATCACATATTTGACAATTAAAAGAAAAAATATTTGATTAAATATGTTTTTTATTTTTTAATTTTCAGTAAAAATTAGAATTAGTCTCTCTTCAAAATTCTGAATTAATTTAGTCTCTTATTTTTAGAACTGTGTCAATTTAGTCCTTTAACCAAATTTTGTTAAGTTTATTTAAAGTTTCAAACGTTTTTCTCAACTAACATTGAAAAAAATGTGTCAAACAGTATAAATAATTTAAATGCTATGACGTTAAATAAACTTAACAAAATTTGGTTAAAAGAATTAAATTCATACATTTATAAAATTGAGAGACTAAACTATGTCAAAATTTTTGAAGAGAGATTGATTTCAGTTTTCACTCTAAGTTAAGAGACTAAAAACATATTTAACCCATAAATATTTAAACTGACACATTGACTCCTAAACGATATGAAATTATTTGGTATATTAAAAGTAGTAAAAAAAAAGTGATTATGATTAAAGGAATTGGTTAATTGATTTAATTGCAATTAGCAAAAGATAATGTAATACTTCTTCTGATGGTGTATTTAGATTTTACTGAATGTTTGGGTGTGAATTAGTGTGTGTCCAATATGGACAAACACCTCTCCACTAAACATTTGCAATTTGCATGAATATGATGTTACTGGTGTTTCTTACAAAGCATTGGTTGAAATTGATACTTGAACTCTTTGAAACCATACATAATCAAGGAGAAAACAAAACCCAAATAGAATAAAAAATATCTCCAATCCCACTTTCAATCTGAGCCTCAGATTTTTCTGATATGTTTTCATCTTTGATTTCCTAATGAAAATTAGCTGCTGGATTCATGTTCATCACTGCTGTTGAACTATTCAACAACTCTATTAAAGAAAGGGTGAATTTTTATCTAAACAAATATAATACTAAGTCACGTGAGATGAATCTTGGTTTGAAGTTTCAATGAATCCTTTGCAATTGCATAAAGGAAAGAAAAATGGCTTTTAGAGAGTCCTTATTAAAATAACAAACCTTTGATAGAAAATTTGATAATCCATGTTCAATCTTTCAACTATTAAGAATCCAATTTCATTCTTCAATTCATTTAAACTTGATAATTTTATATTTGACTAAACATATTATATCATAAAAACAAGTATGCTTTGATTTTGGAATGAATGTGTGGTAGAAAAAAAAAGTAAATTAAAAAGTAGAAAGTTGAATTAGTTGTATATATAATAAATAGTAAAGAGTATATAAGTAACTTTACTTTGAATGAATAGTATCTCTTGTAGTTCAAAGACATAAAAATTATACATGATTTCAAATTTGAACTTTCAACATAATTCAAAATTTGATTTGAGAGTGCAAGTGAGTTTGAATTGACTACCAACCAAATTAAACCCAACACGTTTTATGAAAAAAATCGACTTTGGTCAATTCATCATTCCAATTTGAATTGAGAAAACATCAAACTTGATTATCTATTTAGACTATAAAAATAGTGTTTTTCTTTTTCTTTCTTGAATACATGTTGCCCCTTTTAATATTTAATAAAATTTATCTCAAAAAATAAATATAGTTCGACCAACAAAATATTTCAATTACTTGGGTCATTTTTTTTCCCACTAAATTCAGTCTAATTAAGTGGTTTACACTCTTTTTATTGAAATAACGAAACATGGAATTTTAAGACCATGAAATACTCTTTTGTCAGAAATATGGCAAAACAGAAAAATCCAAATAAAAAGAAAAACCTAACCTAAAGAGAAATACCTAGAAGGTCATAGGTGTGTGCTCACGTGATCCACTACTTAATCACTTTTTAAATGTAAATTAACTTTACGTTAAACCCTTTTAGCTAAAAACAAACATAAAATAAGAGTTTATCTATAATATTACAAATTAAAATAAATTTAAATTTATATTTTCTTTTAACTTTACTATTTTAGAATAGAGTTTTAAATAATACTATGGTAACTCCACCCTCAAGTATTGATAATATGTGGTTTTTGTTGTCCTCTTTTCTATTCTACCAACATGTCTATAACATTGTTATGATTGCTTTGCCCTAAAAAACAAGGAATAATATGTGCTTTACATTATTACACAAATTGTTTCTACTACCTTGTGTATGGGGTTGGTAGGGCAAGTTGGTATGTAGCAAGCAAAGCCATGGATCTTGAATCCAAGGGTCAAGATTTTGAGATATGGAAGATGAATTGATTAATGTGTAATCATTGTTGCACAGTCCACATTTTCATAGGAGAAGAATTGATTAACATGTAATCATTGTCATCATCACAGTCTCCAAATTTTCAAATCTACCAAAATACTACCAAAGGTTAAACTTTACATGGTTAGTTAGCTGATTGGCATCAAAAAGACAATCAACAAGGCAAAGGAGGGAATATCAACTGTTTCTCAAATCACCTCCAAAATATTCCTTCTCAGATTAGGGTTTACACTTTTCTGTGAGAACAACAGTGTATTTGGAAATCAGAATATTAAATCACCTAATCCAAGGTAGTAAAAGTTAAACCATTAGCTATTTATTTCAATCTTTGATCAAGATGAGGATGAATCTTTTCTTGTTAAAATTTTACATCATCTTTACCATATGGAAAACTTTACATGTACTTTTTATTCATTTACATATGTTCAGATATTGATAAAGTTCACACTGTTTTGGGTTACAGAAGAAAGGGAATATTGTTTTGTTACTCTCAGAACCAGGAGATGTATCATGGTAAGGGGAAGAACTAGAACTCTTTCTTAATTCCTATGTTAATGAATCAACAAGATTGATGAATGAAAATGCAAGTCCATAACATAAATTATCAGGTAAAAAGAATGTATCTTTGGGTTTTGTTTAGTGGGATGTAAAAGGAGAGAGACATTAAAAAGAAAGATTAATCATGGGGGAACATTGAAAGTGTCAAGATTCTTGTAAAAAGATGGCTTTGTCCTATGCCAATCATAACATCCTCCTCTCCTATACAAGAACAACCAGACTGGAATGAAAAATGAAATTATACCATACATCAAGCAAAAGGGAAAAAAAATATAAATTAAAAAGAAAAAGAGAAAATAAAAAAAGGGTCTTTTCCTTTTAGTTGGTCAGCAGTCAGAATTGCTTGCCATTGCCGACATGATCCACTGTCACTACACCAAATTGAGTAGAAAGATAAATCAGTTCTGAAGAAATCAGCAACACAGCACCCTGCACTACTAATGAGTTCAGCCAGCCACATAACTTTTTCATTTACAACCATGTTTGACTTTTAGCCAGTCATTAAGGAGCTACAGAAACTTTCATTATTTCTTCCCTTGAGGTGGGTGAAGATACTTAAATTAAACATATACATATCAGTAAAAATTACCAGTATGCTACAATGCAAAAACAGTGAACTCTGTATATAATTGAGTGCAGTTAAATATACAGTCTAAAATGAGTTAAATGGTTGAGGCTTTTTGAGAGGTACTTCTTCATAACATGTAAGAGAATAGGTTCATGATGAAAAAGGATGGAGAAAAGTTAGTAGATAAAAGGGGTGGCTATATTGATGCTAGTTTCAAGCTGTTGTACGTGCAGTAAAAGGACATATTGTGGCATGATTTATTATGGAATATAGTACTAGAGTCGTCGTTCATGTAGCAGCAGTATCTATGAACATAACCAATCACAGGTTTAAAATAACTTCAGTACTAATTCTGCTGTCTTTGGTTATTATCGTTTTAATGCATCTTCAACTTTTACTTCAGTATGCATATAAATTCTGTACTGATACAATAATTTCTCTTCGAATTATGTTTACTATTATTATTACACCGTACAACCATATAAAGATATAAATTTATAGTAAATGACAACTTACAAAATCATTTACACTTTTTTAAAATTTTTATTTTTTAAATAAGATTTAGTGCCTTTTTATTTCTCATGCTAGTCAAGCGTTTTCAAAATTGTCATTTGATGTGTGTATATATATATTAGCAAGAGATTGCCTTGGTACTAAAAAATCTATTGTAGAGAAATTGCTTAACATACCAATTTATTTATTTCTTATATGGATTTGAGCATCTTTGATTTACACTAAGAATAAATTCCACTCACTGTACAACCGTTCTGATATAAAATCTATAGTGAAGATTAATGTGAATATACATTTTAATGGTTCAAAAATCAATTATATCAAAATAAATACTGTTGAAACAAATTTTACCCAACTTAGATGTCAGAATTCCATGATCTGCAGAAGTTCTATTTGCACGGAATAGAGAGGCAGAAGTTGTATTAATTATTGACTAGGAAACTGTTGTGCTTGCATCAGGTTGACAGTATCTCAGATTTCAGTTGCATAATTTTATTATGAAATTTATAGTATGATGACAACAAAAACAACAAAAAGGGTGTCATGTGCATGTGACTGACAAGAAGGGTGAAAAATGATATGCAATTTCATCACCACCAGAACCCTTGAATCACCAACCTTCTGTTCATGGCTCCAATAAATTTAGTCTGCATATTGCAATAACCCTCTCAACCATATCATGTAACTTCTCATACCGACAGGTCTCTTCCTTTTCCATTTTTTTAGGCCACACTCCTTGTTTCAACCTTTTTTCCAGGCCTTTTTAGCAATCATGGCAACCTAAACGGTTAATTCTGCAAAATTCCAATTTTCAACATTGAGATAAACATGGAAAACAAGGCCCCATTAACAAATAAATTATCACAAAAATAAATGTTTCAAAAGGAAAGTTACCAAAGCTTGTGGGACATTTGCTAAACAAAAACAATAATAATATTCACAAACATAATATATATAGGGAGAGAAACAGTGTGTGGATTGATGTGAAGGAAGGCCACTCATACCTCACTCTCCTTTGACCATGACACCCTTTGACATGGATATCCACTCTCCATTGTGGGCCTAATCATTTTGTAGTAAACAAACACACCAGGAGATATGCCAGATTATCTATGAGAAATGCTTCTACGGATACAAAGATTCTTATCTTCTTCCGAGGTTGACAAACGTTAAGACCATGTTGGCTTTGCCACCCTACTACTGCTTCAAGCCATTCCAACTCTGCACAAAAAGTAACATTCAAATTCTGGGAAACTCCTATTTAAGTGTAACATTTCTAGCAACTTAACTCCCTATTCATGAGAGCATCTAGTGGCAGGAGGACACACCATATCATTTGAGATTGCCTCCATCATGAAGAAACATCATAAATGTCATCAGATACTTTTTGTTATTAATTTGGTATGGTGTTCATATTATAGTGCTCCCATTTTTGTGATGACTAACCATGCGGATGCGGTCTCTAGTTGTGGTGAAACATGACTAGGAACAGATGTGGAGATAGCCTCAGCCATGTTTTCTCTTTCCACTCATGAAAATAATATAAATTAGATTAAGGGGCCTGACTTGTGACAATTTTGTGCAGTGATATGAGAACAGAAGACGCCAAAACTTGAATCAGTTTTCAAAGGTGAGGCCAAATAACGGCCAAATATATGTTTCCACTTTCCTCTGAAGGCTCTCACATGCATCAATAGCCCTATGAAAGAGAGAGACCAAGGAACAACATATACCGTTAGAATAGAAATGCTGTCCTTACAGCTTGGAAGTTGAAATTTACTTGAAAGTGAACTAACTGTGCTCAGTTAGTGGCTCACTGGTTTGTAACAGCATGATGGACCTTAATGGTTAATGCCAATTGATAAGATATAATTGAGAATTATGTTATTTTCTTTGTTACTAGAACACACAAAATAAGAGTAGTTGGGATAAGTCCAACAACTATATGGTCCACGCCAAAGTGGTTTTAAAAATCAGGAAACATGAAGGGAAACTCTTTATCTTGCTAGACCCTACGAGAAACTGAAACTTCTACATCAGGCAGTTTGCAGAAAGCAGTGAGACACCTTTTGTTCTTTGGTCAACTCAGTTTAGAACTAAACTGGAGCATTAAAGTCTTTGGATGTGATGGAAATCAGGTGGTCAAACAGTATGATAATTCATCCTATTCTATTCAATCACATAAATTGGTGTGGCAAGCTGAATCTATAGACTATGTATTGTGTTATGGCATATCAAGACATGAACTATCAATTGAGATATATAATCAAAATTCCATGGACTATTTGTAGTGTCTTTTTCCCCCTTCAGGTGAAGAAAACACGTTAGTGACACCCCATGATGTCATATATAAACGTTGTTTTCTTTGAGAAAACAAAAACTTTGCTCTAGATATAGGCTTTCCTCTTGTTTTTTAATAATTTTTCATACAGACCATAAAATTCAGTTTGCTTTTGAATTTTTAAAGATTTTGCATGAGTGCTTTATATCATATCAATGTCAATAGTTAAATGATGAAATTAATAAAGAAATTAATCATATCCTGAAGCTAGTTCCATGAGAATGAAAAATGCTTCTAGTCCAGTACTTGACCAGCAGAAAATGAAGCGGAAGAACAAGTAGAAGAGGAATTAGGAGTTTTTCACATGAGAGGAAGTTTGTAAACAAGGTGTTTTTCATTAAGGCAAACTTTACACATTCATTAATGAAGCGCATCTTTTTAAGTTGTGGAATGATATTAGAATTAGGATTCAATAATCATTCTCATTACAAAATAGCTAGCAAAATTTTTGGGACATGACATTCGTCTTGCTCCTTTCCTGGATTGTTGTTATGCTGATAAAAGAGCAAGACCTCCTCCTTTACAAACCCTAAAAGTACAAAATAATTACTGGAAAAAAGATTGATGATTCATTAGAATCAAAGCTGATCATAACACGGTCACTAACAACATGCTTTTTTTGGTCCCTTCTAATATTCCTTCTGTTTCAACCCCAAAGTCATGAAAAATTTTCAACTAGATGTAAGGGAATAATAGAAGAGTTGTAGAAAGAATCTGATAAATCCTAAAATTACACAATTCTATAAGAGTTGAAAAAAAGCACATTACACTAAGGGAGCATCAGCATAAACTTCAGCCAGCATGCCATCCTCACTACCAGACATGGCAAACAGCTCTGCATCCTTCTCTTCCTCACTGGAAAAGTCTCTCCTTTCAAGCTTGGCATGAGCTGCAATGTATATCATTTTCTGAGCCCTTTCCAAGGCAACTCTTGACTGTTTATTAGCTGAAAATTTCCTCATAAAAGACCAATTACTCTTAAACCCACATGAAGTTGCGTGCTGAAAAATAAGCCTCACTGCAATCTTCCCCAAGGATTTAAACTCACTCAAACATGTTTCCCACACAAGTCTACTACTCAGTGGATTTGCAACTTTCATCTTCCCTGTCACCGGATCCCTCTGCTTCATCTGAACAGCCTGTGCATAAAGCGGATCAAGACCATCTGACCTCCATTTCATTAGCTCCATCAACACAACATGAGCCTCTTCTCGCGAAGCCAGCCTCGTCAGTAACTTGTCCACATCCTTCTCCTGTTCTCGCGTCAAACACTTATAAGGAGGAAGATACTTTCCACTTGCATCCTTAATCAAGTAAAGTGGATCAAGTATAAACGCTGCTGCCCAAGCAGGATGATAATTCTTCCTAAACCTCTTCTCAACTATCTTCTCCACAGGTCCTTCCACAATGTTGAACTTCCCACACCACTCTTTCACCTTGCTCCTCAGCTCCTCCCAAAGAGGCAAGCACCTACCCATCAATGGCCTCTCAGCCTCGACATCATGCACCATCCCTCTAACAAGCTTCACAAGTGAATAAACCGCCTCCAACTCGTTCCAAAACCCCTCATTCTGCACCATCCCTGCAACCTCCCTCACTAGCGTATCTTCCATACACATCACCTTAAACCCATCCTCCATCACAACCATCTGAATCACTCTGGCACAGCTCAAAATCTCCTCCAACATAGGAAACACCAGTTGAAAATTCTTCAACGGATCACATTTGGGTGAAGGCACGCGAATTAGGCCGCCACAATCCATCTCTTGCACCCTGCACTTGAGGAAAAGACTCCTCACCTGCGACTCACTGTTCATAAAATTCGCAACCTTCAAGCAATTCTCAATCACAGACCTGAAAAGCGGCAACTCGCGGTTAAAATCCTTGATCAAGCTAACCAACCCCTGAAGCTGGCAGGAAGTGTTCACCATCCAATGGTGCTGCGCTTCCAAGTTCCTCAACGCCTTCGCCTTGAACTTATCTGCGACAATCCCCACACACCTGTGGACAACACTCCCAGTAACAGCAGTAACCATCTCCCACAAAACCTCCTCGGCATACTTAGAATTCTCCACTCCCCCAGTGAACACAGCCTTCTGAAACACACTACTCCCATTGGGGAGATTCACTACAAACTTCACCAAACTCTCCCCCCCACCACAACACGAGTTAAAGTTAAACAAACCCCCACTCTTCCACCCATCACTCGCCAACTGAAAAAACATGGCGTCCCTAATCCTAGCCTCGGACTCAGCCTTGGCCTCCCCGAACCTAGCATCAAGCCTCCCCCCAGAAACCTCCCTCCTCAAATTGGCGGGCAACCCAACCTGGCCCAAAAAAGCCTGAAACTTTCTATGTTCCAGACTAGACAAGGACACAGAACCACAAGTCTCATAGAACCAATCGAAGAGCAAGTCCAAAGCAGAATTCACCTGGTCCTTGTTCAAAGCAGGACCAGGAGAAGTCTTGGGACTCTTCAACTTCTTCACACTGTCCTCAAACATGGCCAAAGCACACAAATCATCCTTCCCACCCGACAACATTAAATGCTGTTGGCTCTGCCCGTGATGCTGCAAGAGCATAATGTTGTTGTTATTATTATTATTACTATTGCTGTTGTTGTTACTGTTCTGCATCGGGGTGTACCCCATGTCGAAGCGGGAAGACTCGACCAAGGCCAAGGAGTGATTTTGATAAGAAGAGGGTGACGTGGCACCCATTTGAGGCGAACCCCTTTTGCGGTTCGAACCGGGAGTGATGGAGGAAATGGGGAGGGGAGAAGGGACCGAACCGGGTCTCAACCCGGAGCTGAAGTTGGAGCAAGTTCCACGCTTTAAGTGTTCGGAAGCTGTTCTTGAAGGGTTTGAAGCGGAGAAGAGAGAGTCGCAGAGGGAGCATTTGAGTTTCACTGATTTCGGGAGGCCGGTGTCTGGGTGTGGAACGAGTATGGGCTCGAGGTGTGCCCAGTACCAGGCTCCCTTGCCTTTGATAGCCTTGGTCCGGACAGTGAGGAGCCCCTCGAACCGTTTGTTGACAGCCCTGACGGCCGCCGCGCCGTCGTCTGATGGGAGGGGGTCGGTGGAGGTTGAGGTGGTTGAGGTCATGGCTTGAAGGTGGAGCGTCAGAAGTGGAGGGTGTAGTGGGGTGGTGACGGTGGTTTCACCGTTTTGGTGGGAGTGGGTGTCGTTTTGGGGCATTTAGCCATATAGGGTTGCAGAATAAAGAGTAGGATGTGAAGAAGGTGTAGAAAGAGATATGAAGGAAGAGAGTAACTGAGCGAAAAAGGAGTAGAAGGTGCATATAGAGTGGAGCTACTCAACAGGAACCAGAGAATGGAGAACAGAGAGAGAGGGAGAAAGAGAGAGAGAGAAGGGTGAGTCAACCAATTTTGTACTGAGTATAGTTTTTCTGAAAAAACAAAACATCAACTTGTTCTTTGTTTATGGATTTCTTCTTCTTCTTAATACTATGTCTCATATGGTAGTACACATACTATAATGTCATCACAAAATGTTATACAAGCACTTAATACCTTCTATTCTGACGTTTTAATTATATTTTTTTAATTTTAAAATATACATTTTTATTATTTTCTTTTGTTTTATAATGTATATTTTACCATTCTTCTTAAGTTTTATCATTTACGTTATGAATAAGATTTTCTCAAAAAAATAAAAATAAAGATGGTGTATGAGAAAATATAAGTTAAGTTACATTTTTGTTAAATATACGTCGGAATGATGAACAGCAGTTGTAGTTTAATGATATTTTGTGTTTGTTTAATGTTACCGACAATTAACATAAACATCCTATTATTAGTCGTAGTATTTTAGTAGGTAGAGTGACGTTTTATTAAATTTATTATCATATACTTTAAAATTCTACCTAAAATATTTACTTTAGCTTTGAACAAGGTCACCAAATTGATAATAGATGTTAAATCAATATACAAGGAAACAAATAATAAAAAGTTATTTGCATTAAAATATGGTTAGTTTAATATATATTTATTCTTTAGTGATAAGAACATGTAAGTTAAGCATTTGTTATAGGAGAAAAATATAGTTGACTGTACTTACAAATAATTTACAGTTAAATTTTTTGGACTTCTTTCAAATAATATTCAATAAAGATATGCGCCTATTTTTCTAATTAAAACTACGTTTTAACTAAATTGAAAAGAAAAAAAAAACTTTGCTATCCCTTTAGATTTTAAAAGAGTAATTTTGAAATGTAGATATAAATGAAATCGTTAAAAAAGAGGAGACAGAAATAATTGTACCAATAAAGCCTAATTCAATTCATAAAAGTTGGGTTCTTTACTTTTTTTTAATAAAATAGTTGAGTTTCTGAAAAGTGCATTTACTATGCTATATATCTATGACGAATATTTTTAAGTTACTTAGTTTTTATTTAAGGGAATGTTTTATAAAAATGCATGAAGGAAGTAGTCACTCAAACTCATCATAATATAAACTCTATCCATAAAATATAAGGTCGAAGTTAATATTTTATATTCAATATTCAAGGTCTAACATCTAAAAAAATCATCTAAAAGTCTAAAAAATATTTTCTACTTAAAGTTTTTTTTTGTCTTTCATTCAAACTGTTTAAAAGATATATGTAAAAGATATTCTCATGTCAAAGTCATCTCAATATTTAATAATTTAGATATTAATGATATAGTAAATGTAATTATCTATCTTTTTAATACAAACTTACATTTATAAATTTTGAAATAGATTTTTATTAATTATGGTCCAATTGTTGATAGTCATATTTTACCTTAAGTTGCTTAATATTAGAATTAATTGTCTTAAGAATTAATCAAACGATAAGACTATACAATCATTTGATCAGACTATACGATTGTTCAATCCTGATAGTGATCTATTCAATCATCTTACTAATGATTGATCATCCGTCTATAACTGATCGAACGATCATACAGTACATTTTGAAATAAAAAAAAATAAGAACAAAAAGCTTTAGATTTTATTTTTTGTTTTTTAAGAAAATTGATTGTTTTAGCTTTTGAAAAAAGTGGTTAAATGTTATATATTTTAGAGTGGATAATATTAAATTGAAAAATACAGTTTTAATTGAAGAGAAAAGGAACAAAGGGTTGAATGATTTTGATGATAAATGAAGAATTAAGTAAAATCCAAGAAAGAAGAAGAGGTTGATGGCATTGATATGGTGATTTTGATTGGTTTTATTAATGGAGAGACATTAGACTCCATTTCAACAGGATCCTAGAGTAACATCAGAACCAGATTTTTATGGTTCATAGTTTTTCTCAAATCACTTTCACCCTAACAAAAAGAAAAGCACTTAAAATTTTAGGGTTAACTTCAATTATTAAGCTACTTGTTTTACTTTTGTCGTCTTCTTATTTCATTTGTTCCTCCATTGTCTCTCTAATTACGTTCCAATATCAATCACTAAATTTAACTTTTGCCAAAAGGATAACTAATATCACTTACTCTTATTCTAACCTATTTTACTTTAGGGTAGAATATAATCCTAGTATTTCATAAGAGAATATAATAATAATAATAATAATATGAAAAATGTTTTATTTTATTAAAACGATTATTTGAGATTTATCTGTTAGAAATATTTAATATTATTTAAAAAATAAATAACTAAAATAAAATTATACTTTATATAATATTAATTTTAGAGATAAATACTATTTATAGATAAACAATTTTCATTTACCTACAAATTATTTTAGTTTAAAATCAAATTTATTACAATGAATCTTAAGTTTTTATTTTATTTATAAATTATATTGGGTTAAATATGTTTTTAGTCCCTAAACTATTGGCCGTTTCTGGTTTTCGTCCCTCTTTCAAATTATGGTACAATTTGTTCCTCATTCTTTTCTAAACGTTCGTTTTAGTCCTCGAAAACTAAACACTGTTTAAACATTTAGTCCTCATTTAGCAACAAATGAGGACTAAAACCAAAATTTCAAGGACTAAAACGAATGTTTCGAAAAGAATGAGGACCAAATTGTACCTTGAAAGAGGGACGAAAACCAGAAACGGTTTAGGGACTAAAAACATATTTAACCCAATATAATTTATAAACAAATCTAATAAACAAATCAACTCATAAAAGGTGTTTTTGAGTCTTCTGCTTTATATTGTCTTTTAAGATATTAATGTTTATAGAGTTCAAATATCCTCGTTGTGATCAATTGATCTAACGAGTTATTATATCTTGGGCAATAAAAGCGTTTTCTCTCTAAGAACAACGTTTTGTGTGTCTCAATCCAGGTTATTTCTATTTATTTTTTCAATTATAATTTTATCATACTTTTTTTATTATTTGTTTGACTTAATGAATCTTCTATTATCTATATTTTTGTTTTATTCTTATATGATTATTATTATTTGTTTTGATTATTTTCCTAACATTCTTAGAGAGAAAAATCATTTTTATTTTACTTGACTCATCATTCTTTGCAAAAGTCAAAAATAATATTATATAATATATTTGTACTGGTATAATTAAGTTATTCTCAAGTATACCTGAAAAAATTATAGGTAAAATTTCTTTTTGTGTTAGTAACAACTAATAAATTTTTGGCTCATTGATATATAGCTACAAATTAATATGTTATGATGTTTCTGATAAAAATATTTGATGTCATATAGGCATATATAAACTTCTTTGTCTAATAATATTTACAAAAATATCTTACCGTACTAAAATGGTTGTAAAATAATAGAAAGTACTTAAATTTAATTATTTTTATCATATTCAAAAATTTAAAAATTTTGTTTATTACATAAAGTTAAAAGAAATTGTTTTACTTGACATCATGCTTAATAGTTTTATGATTTAAAATTACCTCTTTCATGGTTTTATTGTGCTCAAAATTTAAAACATAAGCATGAAAAAATATTTGTTTTGATAGTTTTGATAATGTGTCTTTTGTGTTAAGGAAAAATATAGCTTTTATTTTTAAATCTCGTTCAAATTTTTCAGTCTAATTCCAATCTAATAGCATCATTTTGTATAGGTGTTGCATATGATTTTCAATTTAAAAGGTCTCATGTCATCAACTTTGAGTTAAATCATGTTTTTAACTCAAACTATTAATTTATGGACTACGAGACTAATGTTCATGTATATGCTAATAAAAAATTATGTTGTTTATACCATAAATAAAAGAAAAAATATTGTTTATTACTAAGTGGGTTTTTAGTACAATAGGGTTTTTATTTCTAGACATGGTATTTTTGTTATTAAAGGATATATTTGTGATGATTTTGTTTAAGTTAAGGGTTATATTTAGTAGTTACTTTTTTTATTATATATGTTGAAAGTTATGATATATGACATTTTAGATCAGGTCACGTAAATTTAAATTCCATTTACTTAAAGTCTCTTAGTTTTATTGCCAAATTTTTATGATATGAGACATGAGGAAGTCTCTAAGTGACACTCATCTATATAAGTATTTAGTCTTACATTTAATATATATATATATATATATATATATATATATATATATATTTTTGATTAGCTTAGAAATATTGTATTAATTAAAATTATTATAATTTATAATATATAAATAAATATAATTTTCATTTTATAGGATCGACTTAAATTTCAAAATCTTATAAACCTTATAAATAGACACTTAATAGAATTAGATTGAGTAATCTATATTTCTTTTTTCAAATAAAAAAATAGCCACGTTGTGAAGAAAAAAAATGTAACCATAACTAAACTATCAGCATGAACATGATTAGACCAAACATACTATGATTAGAAGTAACTAAAACCATATAAATATAAAATGATAAATGAACGAAAAATTAACTGTCCAAATCGAATCAAAAAACATACAATTCATATAATATTCGAACTAGACCAAATCAGGCTAACACATTTCCATAATTAGATTGAATAATAAATTATACAATTCATATAAAATCTGAATCAGACGAATTAATTTCAAAACTTTGATAATAAGCACCTGCATTTGTTTTTTTTTATAAGTTTTTCTATAGAAAGAAAATGATTATCCGACAATATGAAAGAGAAATGAAGTCAGCTTTACAACTATTATAAGTAAATTATTATTAAAATAATGTAACTGGTGATTACAAAAATGCATCTAAAATGTAGGACACTAGCTATACTATACCCCGTGAAACACACACAATTAAAATAACTCTGTTTATTTGGTGAGATAATTAACTAAAAACTATTGTTATCTGTGTAGAATATTAATATGGGGTAAGTTTGTATCTATTTTAATGACAAAAGTGAGATTTTATATTAGTTTATTAATATATTGTGTCTATGTTTTTTTTCGCTCTTTAATCTAATATAATATAAATAAAAATATGTTATAAATATAAAATGTTTAAAAATATTTAAGAATATAAGTTAAAGA